AGGAACCCATTTTATAAACAAATATAGCACTTCAGTCCCCAGAGCTTTATTTCAATACTTGTTATGTATGATAATAAATCACACCAAAACAAAAAGATTCTACCATTAAATTAAATAACATAGTGGGAAAATTTGCTCTCAGTTATGAGTATACAACTCCCAAGTCAAGATAATAGAAAATGTGCACACTACTCATACAGAATTTGACCTAATGTTTGCAAAACTTTTTAAAACAAGTCTAGACTTGAAGTGGTTTGGTTTTATGTCTGCTAATTGGCAGCAGATTATGACAGTATTCAGGAAATACATGCTACACTGAAGTAAAATGTGTTTCTTTAATCCTCCTTACCTCTGATGCTTTTATTTTGTAATGAAGAAAGGATAGAGAATTTTTTTCATTCAAATTTGTATTTCAAATACACTAAGATTTAGTACCAGTTAAACTATTATAGATCTTATCCTAATTCAGCAGACCAATAGAAATAGCTTTGTTAAACCATTATATCTGATGTGAACACATATTTTAAACACATGAGGATAATTCTGAAAGAGCGAGCCTTGTTTTTCTTTTACAGGTGCTACAGCTGAGGCATTACCTGGTAATACATAATTAGACCTCAGTTTCTTTGAGGTTTCACAACATTTTTCAGGTATTACAACTGATAGCAATGTTCTCACCAGGACCATAATAGTTATCGATAGATGAGGTATTTGACATAACATTAGGATAATAATTCTTTTATCTCCATTAATACATACAGCAAAATCAAGACCTAAAGCATGTTGAGAGCCAACCTCAAATGAAGCATCCATCCTTACAGCACTGAGTGTTTGCTCTCTGACTTGGCTTCTTTACTTGTTGATAAAGCATTAAGAATTTGAAATAAATAGATAAGAATAAACATACAAACTATGTATGACACAGAGAAAATATGTTTGTAAGCCCTCCTCGATCATATACTTTTCTTAAAATAAGCCCCTGTAGCACCTCATCCTTTCCCACTAAGGGCCTGGGGGAGGTTGAGAAAAGCATACAGGAAAGCAGTTCAAGTGGAAGTGCAAAGGTAAGCGTATCTAAAAATGTTAAGTCATCAGTGTACAAACCAGCTAAATGCAATCAAACAGAATATCTTGTATTATCTGTGTTTGGACATGTGGATGTTTCCTTTGTGTGTAGTTGGGTTTTTTTTAAAGAAAATGAGTTTTCAGGTCCTGTTTGTAATAGAAAAGCTACCTTGATTGAACTGATTTAGGTTTGAACAAGGGTCTACTCTTGTCAGAACCAAATAGGTCCAAAAGCAACAAATCTATCTCTGAAAATGAGGAGGAATTTTAATATTTCACTGTTCACACAGGAGACTGCACATTTTAACTATATTTATAAAGTTAGAGAAATACCATGACGCAAGTATGGATGCAGTTATGTTATATCAGTATTAAGACAGATATACTAATACAGCTATTCATGTGCAAGATTGAGAATAACTGTACTGGTATGAGGCACCTTTATTCTAATATTAACCTACATTAAGCATAGCATCAGTGTAACTATTTCAGTAAAAATAAACTCACCCCTTAAACAACATACCATTAAAAACTGTGTTTAGACTGGGCCAAATAATAGTGTAACAAAGAGCAGCATTTTTCCTGAGATTTAGATGACATGTCAACTATCATTCCCAGCCAAAGGCTGTCAACCTTATGAACCTGAACAAAGGTGAAAAAGAAATGGGGAGATGCCTTGCTAGAAGGTAGCAGAGAGAAATATTCTTCTATTTTTTCTGTAGGAAAACCATGTGTTAAGTGCAGGAGAGAAGGGGCGTGTCCACACATGCAAGCACATGTGCTTGCAGCAGCTTAAATAGAAGCAGTGCAAATTTGAGCTGAGGCTTTTTCCTTCAGCGCACATACTCGGACATGCACTTTGGTGTGGGGCAAACTGTGCCGCCTGGGGCAAAATAACCCTGCCTGGCTCCTCCCAGATCTTCAGCCAGGAGGAGCTAGAGCCCGGGGCCAGCATCTGTGCTGTCCCCAGCAGTATAAAAAGTTGCCCTGTCCTGGCCCCAGCAGTATAAAAAGCTGCCCTGGCAAGTAGTTCAGGGCTACTAGCTCTCAAGAGCTTCTGGGGCCCAGCCAACTGGTACCTGTGGACACCACCCCCTGTGCCAGCTGGACTGCTGAAGCAGCCCTGAGAGTTCCCTGCACCCTTTACCCACTGGGGCAGTCTGGCAGTGGGGGCTGCTGCCTGGCTGTGACCTGCTGTGCACCTGCCAGACCTGGATGGGGACTGCACAGCCAGTAGAAGCATCTGCCCCTCTGGGCCAGCTGCCGGTGGGCTATGGTTGCAGCGTTGGCCTCTGTGCGGCACTACGGCCATGTGTGCCCCCTACCCGGCCATCTGGGCAGCCATCACCTAGAAGATGTTAGGGTGTGGTGGCTTGCTTTCAACTGTCAAAGCATGTCCTCCTGGCCCCACTTGGCCAGGAGGTCAGGCACAGCTAGCTGGGTCCAAGGTGCCAGCTCTGAGCAAGCAGGGTCCTGCCACTAGCCTCCCTAGCAGGAATTCTAGTGTTTCCTATTAGAAAACTGAGAAATCCCTGATTTAAAAAAAAAAAAAAAATCCCAAAGTCCCTCTGTAAAATACCCTGAAATCCATGTTCCTCCACAAGTT